TGAGGTGGTGGAAGGTTGAAGAAAGAATAATGTGAAGATTTGAGGATGAACTTAAGTGAAGTGGGAGAAACCTCGAGGGAAGTTTTGAAAAATTGAGGAATTTTGCTTGCGGTTTTGAAGCTTTTGTAAAATTCTTTGGGAACGACCTTGGCCGAGGTGGAGCCTGAGGATTTTACAGGCAGTGTAACTGTTGCGTCCGCACAACTATGCTGACAACACGTGCAAGTATACACGAAATCGTTAGTTGTAGTATGTAACGAGGTCGTATCCACACGGACTTTTGGATAATATTTTAACTATACGTGCAGATACCAACAAAGAAAAAATATAAAGAGTTTGGTGCATGGAAATTATTTAAAAGAAATAGAATAACAACAAGACAACAGATGCTTGCAGCAGACACGTTCTTTTCAGCATACTTTCACAGGTTATCAACCTTACCCTCTAGCATACTAACATCTATTACCGCCCAGCTCGACTCGGTTTCCTTCTGAGACACCCCAAACATGAGTAAGTACAATTTTCGTTGCTAAATACCCAAGCAATAAACGCAAGTCCTAGGCATGATTAGGGGACCCCATTCATGAGTATCCCTAAAGCTATAGAAAAGTGCTAATCACAAATAAAGTATATGAGCACCCATAAGCTCTTCCGGGTCAATACAGCAGCTAACAAACATGACAGAATGACCAAAAATGTCACGCTAGATTAAAGAAATACAAAATAGTTTTATTAAAAAATAGATGTAGTAGTTAGAGGTTCAGTATCAAGTTAGTTACMACATGTAAATCTCCACCAACGGGGTTTAGCTCATAATGGCGAAGACAACAAAAAGGAATAAATGAGAATACAACTCATTTCAGGGCAGCAGCAGAGAAGGGGAAGCAGACAGCTCGTCAAAGCAGGTGATACCCCTTGGCCCTTTTATGTCCCATAGTCACATGGTTTAGGGGTAAATCTGTCCATGCACACTAAAAGTCGCGTTGGGACTAGCACTGGGAGTCATGATTGAAAAAAGGAAGCTTTCATTAAACATAAAGGGACCAGAGAACCTCCAATTAAATAAAAATGGCGGCTGAAGCTGCTGGTAATTACAGAGGAAAAAAATAAGAAAAAAAAGGGCCTACACCTAAGTACTAGGTTCAGAGGGGCCAAGCTTCTTCTCGAGACGCCTCACTTGGCGTAGCAGTTCATTGCAAACATTCTCCATCTCTTCCATCCATTGAAGGCACTGTCTTGCCGTCGCCATTGCAAATTGACGATACGCCTCTACCTTCGCTCATTCCCTCCTCTCCTAGCGAAGCTCCTCCTCAAGCGCAGAGATCCTATAAACCAGCTTCTCTTTGCTAAGAAGCGTGAGATATGGTCTTCCTCTCCKGGGACAACCTCCTTCTCGTCTTCCTCTTCGGGACAACCTACTTCTTTTCCTCTACAGCCTCCTCCTCGTCCTTCTTGGAGTCCTCCTCCTTCGAAGCTTCTCCCCTATCCAGATATCAATGTTTGTTGGGGTCATACGAGTTATCACTTTGGGAGTGAGCCCTCAACCTCTCAAAAGTGTGCTCCTTCGTAGAGGAGGGATCACCCTCCGAAGGAATGTCAATGCTAATGGGGTCATTACTAGAGGGCTCAAACATTTTTGTTGAATACGATAAACAACGGGTGGTGAAGTTCGGAGGTGACACAAGTCTCTAATTTGAAAAGGACGGGAGCAAACCCTAACCATCAGATCATCTGTCTAGGTGTCGCGATTAAAGGGTACCTCCCCCCACAAAAGACGAAACAATGTGTCATACAACAAATAATTAACCTCAAGACACACAATGACAAAATAGATATCGAAGTGGCGGTTACAACCCCCGCAATCTGAAGCTTAATCCCAGTGCCTCGTCCACTGGCAATCAGTACACTGAATCGTACGGAATGCCACGTGGAGCCACGCACTATTTGCCCTTGGATAACACTCAAAGTTCTAAGACCTCCTACGAATCTGGACATCCTACCTAACTACCAAACATCCGCGAGTAGCCCTTTGGAGACCTAATGTTCCAAGGCGCTTCCCGAGTAAAGGACGGTAAGGGCTCCAACACGGGCATATTCTCTACCTTTCGGAAACACTAAAAATTCTAAGGCCTTCCCAAGTTCGGAAAGCCTATCTGGCTACCATTCTGTAACGAGTAGGCCTCTAGAGACCTCATGTTCCAAGGCGCTTCCCGAATAAAGGAGTCGGTGATGGCTTCCACTCAGACGTATTTTTTACCTTTCGGGAACACTTAAAGTTCCAAGCCACTCCCCGAGTATCGAAAGCCTACCTTGGTACCACTCGGCCGTGAGTAGGCCTCTGGAGACGTGACGTTCCCAGGAGCTTCCATAGTAAAGAAGCTGGTTACGACTCCCACTCGGACGTATTGCCTGCCTTTCGTGAACACTTAAAGTTATAAGTCCTTCCCTGACTCCGGAAAGCCTATTTGGTTACCACTAAGCCACGAGTAGGCCTATGAGACCAAATGTTCCAAGGYGTTTCCTGAGTAAAGGAGCCGGCCATGACTCTCACTCGAACGTATTCTCTTCCTTTCAGGAATACTTAAAGTTCCAAGGCCTCCACCAAGATCGGAAGACCAACCTGGCTTCCACTCAGTCGCAAGCAAGCCTCTAGAGACCTGATGTTCCAAGGCGCTTCCCGAGCAAAGAGGCTGGCGAGGGCTCCCACTTGGATGTATTCTTTGCCTTTGAATAACACTCAAACTTTCAAGGCCTCCCCCGAGTCCAGAGAGCCTACCTAGCTTCCACTCGCACGAGCAGGCCTCTGGAGACCCGATCTTCCAAGGTGTTCCCCAAGTGAAAGAGCCGACCAGGGCTTTCACTAAGACATATTCCCTAACTATCGGGAACACTCAAAGTTCCAAGGACTCTCCCAATCCGAAAAGCCTATATGGCTACCAGTCGGCAGCGAGTAGACTTCTGAAGACTTGATGTTCCAAGGCGCTTCTCGAGAAAAGGGTTTAGCTCTCCCAAGAAGAAGTAGCTAATCACAAATAGAGCAAGTCGGCTACCCGGAAGCCCTCTCGGGTCATACAGACGCTAGCAACAAAACAAGGTGGCCAACAATGTCTAGTACGATTGAAGAAATAAAAAGAGCTCTATTTAATAACGAAATGAAATCAGCTAGAGTTTCAGTTGTTCATCAGTTACAGCAAGCAAATCTCCCCAAAGTAGGGTTTAGCTCATATTAAACCCATTTAGAGAAAAGAGAAGAAAATCGAAGATGGAGATGACAGCTCGCAGCAGCAGCCGAATATCCTGCTCTATCGTCAGCTCTCTCCCGAAAATGGTAGTTGAACTAAACTAAAGTGTGTATGCAAAGAATCAGAGATCGAAAACACGATCCGCGCGAGTCCTTTTTTTTTAAGATAGCAAGGAGGAGATTGTTTTTTGAATGAACTAATATATTAATTTCAAATTTTATATTAAAGAAAGGCAATTTTGGTGTGGAATCCATATTCCTCTTCCTAATGTTCATGCCTAGAATCCATCTTGCTTGTCTAAGATCTTTCATTTCAAACTCTTTACTAAGAAGTCCTTTAAATTTATTTAACTAACGAGCATACTTACAAGCAATCAACACATCATCAACATACAATTAAAGGTACATGCAGTCAAATTTAGAAACTTTCTTTTAATGAGCACAACTATCATATTTACTTCTCAAGAAATAAATAGATAGCATAAAATAATCAAACATTTTGTACCATTGTCAAGGAGATTGCTTTTAACATCCATCTACTTCATGGGACGTTAATCCCGCAGTGGAAACGACGAACGTATTCTTGAATATTAAGGAGAAAAAAAACCAGCATTTTAAAATAAAAAAAGAGGAAAAAACTCATTTACGAAGAACCTTTCTTCAAGAAATCACAACAATGGATTCCATTCAACACCACTACCGATCTTCCCGGCTATCATCTGGTGACGAGAATCTGCTTGTGGGAGTAACGAACTAGGAATGAAAGGGAATCTTAAGAGAGTTTTTCCAAGAGAGAAATGCACAAAAAGTTGAAAAAAATCCAATTCTGTTTTTACATAATGCAATAAAACAAGGATGACGTGGGGTAACTCCCCACGTCATAACCACCTTCTCACTCCTGTGCAATTAAGCAGGGGAGTGTTAATATTAATATTAATTAATATTAATCAAACTAATAAATAATGTATCAAAATTAATTAATCTTATTAATTAATTAACAATTAATTATATATATATATTCCCAAAATAGAATCATATTCTAAAGTATTTATCTCGTATAACATATAGTTGTAATATACATCTTATGCACATACTTTTTTAACCTATAGTTTTAATATGAATCCCACTCAAAGAATTTATCTCATTATATAGTTTCAACTTAGAATTAACCATATATGATATGTATCAATATACATATAATCCCTTAAGCAATTTGAACATTTCAAATTCTTCCAAGAAACTTGATCCTCGTTTTACCTGTTGTGTGCTAGCAAGGAGACCTAATGGACTTACATATCAGAACCTTCAAGACATAAGATTAATCGGTTAAACTAACCGACTTAATAAACATTCGTTAACTGCGGGTCACTCCACTAAAGACCCGCAGCTGCACTCTTCTCACTATAGAATATTATCGTGTTCACGGATATACGACCATTAATGGCAAGTCAATCCTTCACGAGTCAGTCTTTCAATTTAGAATTAACCATATATTATATGTATCAATATACCTATAATCCCTTGAGCAATTTGAACATTTCAAATTCTTCCAAGAAACTTGATCCTCGTTTTACCTGTTGTGAGCTAGCAAGTGGATCTAATGGACCTACATATCAGAACCTTCAAGACATAAGATTAATTGGTTAAACTCATTAATCGAGTTAATAAACATTTGTTAACTGCGGTCACCCACTAAAGACCCGCAGCTGCACTCTTCTCACTGCAAAATATTTTCGTGTTCACGAATATACGACCATTAATGGCAAGTCAGTTCTTAAGTGCAAGGTTCATTGGGCCTTTTGAAATTTTGGAACGTATCGGCCCAGTCGCGTATAGGTTGGCCTTGCCACCATCGTTGGCAGCGGTTCACAATGTGTTTCACGTGTCTATGCTGAGGAGGTACATTCATGACCCTTCACACGTTTTGGACCCTGAACCATTACAATTAGATGAGTCCTTGTGCTACGAAGAGGTACCCGTCAAAATTTTGGCAAAAGAAACCAAGTTGTTAAGGAACCTGACGATTCGCTTGGTTAAGGTTTTGTGGAGAAACCACCAAGTGGAAGAAGCTACTTGGGAGCGGGAGGATGATATCAAGGCGAGATACCCTGAACTGTTGGAACAGTCGACTTTCGGGGACGAAAGTTTTTGAAGGAGGGAAGTCTGTAACGCCCCGAGCCCCTCAGGTTAGTTAGTCTCGAATCAGGAGATTTTTCATTTAATTTTAAATTGATTGTTAATTAAATTTATCTATATTTATCGGGCTCTAAACTCCAATTAAATTAATATTTACCGGACTCCGTGTGGTGGGTCTT